GATGAACTCACAGTTATGAATTGCTTCACCACTTAGCCACTGAAAGCCGCAAATGGCAAATGGTTGTACCACCTGAATAAGTAGATTTACTTATTGTTTCTGAATTTCTGTGATCAACTCAGAAAGCGTGCGAAATTGATTTAAGTATAATACAAAGTATGACTAAGCAAGAAACATTATTTAAAAGCATCATCTAGTGGTTAGTTCCTCAAACAGTGAAAAAACATAAGAAATTGCATTGTTTTTCTATGCTAAACTTTATGCTTTTTAAAAGAATGAAGAAAGTAAAACGAGAATAAATAGTGGATTAGACAATATTGGGAAACATTGCCGCAGTCGAATGCATAAAAGCAACTATCAGAATTTGTAGCTTTTATTCCTTATCCGGATGAAAGGTATCAGAAAACAAAGTTAACGTTATAAAGAAGAAAATAAATAAGTTTTTTTTAGAAAATTACAGTAAAGTAATAAAAAACTGAAAAATTTGAAGAAACTTAATTCTAAAATTAATGCAGTCAACAGTTACTGATGTCCGGTACTCTAGGAACTATTAAAAAACAACCTTTAAAAGAAAACAGATGCCAATAATTTGAGCAGAAAGAAATAACTTTTGAAACGCACATAAACAATAAAAAAATCTTTAATTTGTATAAAAAATTCAATAATTTGTGTAAATAATATCAAAACCTTTGTCTCAACGCTTTTGCCCTTTTAGAAGTCATAAATAATTGAACAACAAGTTGGTGTAATGCACAGGAACTTCAAACTGAGCATCAGAAAGCACATTATTTACAATTTCAATTAGGCTTTAATAAATTTTGATGTATGATAATTAGCAACTTTGTTATTCAAAACAAAAGCTTTAATTGTTATTTTTATCAATAATTATGATTTTGCTTTTTTGTATGCAAATTAGAATACTGAAGCTACAATCTATAAAATATTTTTAAAAATTTTTGTTTTTAGACATATAACCGAAAAGTTCGTTCTAAAATTATTTGAAGTTGTTGTTAACACTTAATTGAAGTTTTTTACTTGCAGTGTTTAATGCTAATACAATAACACAGTTCAAAAAGCAGTTGAAGATTTTTTATAAGATGTATAGCTTAAAAATAAATAAGTGCTATTTCTAATAATCGTTTTCAGTCATCAATTTTTTCTTAATTTACTACGCTGTTTATAACTCAACATTTCATCCACTTTATTCTCTAAAATTACTCAGATGAGTAAAATAAAATTTTGCTAGTTTTTTGTATTTTTTCCATGACAGATATATTTCAAAGTTCAAAGAAAAAAGCACTGACCAAGCTTATATTGTTCGACAGTTTACTACGTCGCTTCAGCAACCATTTCCTACTGCATATGCTCAAAAATATTCCAATGTATCCAATAAGCATGAGAGCTACAGATAATTGACAAGCAATATATAATAAAGTTGGTATACTGAAACGACCGCCTCCACAGGTTCCGCATTTAAACGTATATTTCATTGTCCAACGATTGAACCTTAATATACTTCAGTTTTACTAGGCAATTAAAAAAAGCTATAAAGTAAGAAACCTTGATCGATAAAAAGGGTTTTCTTATACCCGCCAGCAACTCTATTGTTCTGACAAACTGTAAAGTAAATACTATAAAAGTAGTTGGAGAATTGCTTCTTACAGAGCAAAAACCCTGAGACAACTTTTTTTACCTGTTTTCTTTTTAAACCTTTTCAAATCAAAAATTTCTATTTGAATTTTCTATTTTTTTAGGATAATTATTCATTTACTGTTCCATCACGTACATTAATTAGATTTTTTGCTAAAATATTACAAGATTAGAACTAAGTTATTTTTGAACAAGAATTTCATAAAAGCATACTCGTAAGTTCATTAATCCTCTTCCAAATTCAAGTTGCATTGTACATTTTTTCCGCTAGAGACTTCAAACAAGATTCTAAGAGCAAGTTTACACCAACAGTTTGCTTGCTAAGGAAAGGCTTTAAACGCTTTGAAGTTTGGTAGAATGCTAAAGAAAAGTCAACTAAAACCCCCTCACCTTTTATAACAGCCAATCGATGTAGTACCAACAGTTATAGCAAATCCAAGAAGCCACGGAATACTGATGATCAATAAGTGGAATTTTCGAATAAAATGATTAACGGCTTTAGATGTAAACAGAGAGATACGTTCTATTGCTACAATACAGTTGGTAAACAGCGTTGTGTAGTATCCAAATGTGTCAGGCGATGACAGAGTAATCATCAGCGCATCCACGCCATAGAAACTACAGAAGGAGAAACTGCATGGTAGTGTGGTATAGATGTTGACCATTATTGTAACAAGCCCAGATAGAGTCAAAGACAGCATCATTCGGTAAATGACAACATTGCCAATATCAGACCAAGACAGGTAATATATAGTTAGTAAGAGACCGTTCAAGGTCAGACCAGCAAATGTCATTATGCTGATGAAGCTAGCAGCAAGAATACGTTGAGCAATTGTATAATTCGTCATAGGCTGAAGACATTTATCGACATCACCACTTCCCATCATCATACCATTACCCATCATCATACTATCACCCATCATCATAGGATTAGGGTTATTCATCATTATAGCACCACTCATCATCGACATTGTTATTCCTTTTCACTAGACGTTTTGATATAACACTTTCACTGAAGAAATGTTTAATGATGAAAAGCTGCAAGAATGTAGATTTCACAAAGTTCCTTTTACACCTGGTTTTAGTTTTAATGAGTTACGCTGAATAAAAGCGCAGCATTATTTATGTGTAAGCATAAATATAAATTAATAAATAAGTATGCTGTTATAAGTCAAATCGCGCACTTTATATCTCATGTCTCCAAATTTCCAAAATTTTTGTTGTCTATTAAAATTAAAACTTGAATCCAAAAAACCAAAAGAAAATCCAAAAAAAAAAAATTTTTTTTCAAATTATACTTTATCGAAGTTGCGAGAATTGTTAAGTTTTCAAAACGTATGTTTTGTCAAATTTGTAATTCAATTTAAATTTAGAAAAATTTTAAGGTTTTTTGTTTCTTAGATGACCTATGTTTTCTTTGTTTGAAAAAAAGGTTTAATTTTGAAAGCAGTATAAAATCATTGTTATAGTTTAGCACTTTTGAATTTTTAGAGATTTTTTTTTAAAAACTAAGTTTAGTGCTAAAGTACCTACAGCTTATTGGTTTACAGATGTGTATTTAACAGTTCTTATTACACTAACTTCTGCTTCAAGAATTTTGTGCTGAACTGCAATAGTTAATTGGTTACAAAAACAACAAAACAACAGTGTATTTATTGTATGACTTACTTTGTAAAAAGTAGTCTTGTAGAACTTAAAAATTTATATCTGTAATTCACAGATGCCTTGAAAAAAAAAAAAGGTAGATGAGAACACAATACTCTGCTATACTCATCGCAGTTAAGCATAAAATTTATAAAGCCAAAAAAAATTAAATAAAGAAGGTTCAATGCACATTTATACAATAATAAGTTACAAATATTTTTTTGAAAGGTTATTTTTTAAAGCAAACTTTGAAAACCATTAGATTTCGGTTACTGTTTTCTCCCGCTTTAAAAAAATTCCTTTAACAAAGATTCTATCAGTAAGAAAAGCAAGCAGTTGCTGTGTTAATGACAGATTACTATCGACCTTACATCACGTTATAAAATTTTCGTAGAATTAAGCTTTGTAAAAAAATTAGAATAGTTATCTAATAAGTTCTTAGTTTTTTACTTATGTTCTACTTGTTTAATTGTTCTTATTCAACATGACTTTATAGATAGAAATTACACGAGATATTTAGTTAATCGAACAATTTTAAATTTTATTGCGGACAAGATGAAGCATAAATATAAGAAGCAAATTATATCGAGTAACAAGAGAACAATTTTTGCAGTTTTGTTAATGCGTAACTTAGCATAAAAAATTTAAGTTAATCTTATGAAGGAAAAACCTGAACCGATTTTAAAAATTGTAAACATTGCTATTCCAGTGAAAGAGTGTATGACGATCACATAAAAGCCCAGCCCACTTTACCGTCAGATACTTAATGCTGTGATCAACCAATCACCTGCAGTTTCAGTTATGAGCTTATTAATATTTTATACACTAATAACAGTAAACCTAACAAATTGCAATGATCTTTAAAGCTAGATCTTTGAACCTTTAAAATAGACAATTCATCAACAAACAATTTGTATAAAAATTTGTTTGATAATTTTTAGTAATCAAAAATTTACCACTAAATTAGCATTATAAAATTGAGCGGAACTGATAATACTTTTTGTAAAATGTTTCAGTCATATTAACACGAACTATTTTAAAGAAATTTGGGCTCTGGTTTAATCTGGTGGTCCCATCATGCTGATTGCCTGTAAGTGGTACATTTTTCTTTGTAGGCCCCTCTCATTGCAGTAGAGGAAAAAGATGGGGACACCAGACTAAACCAGAGACCAAATTTGTTCAATAATACCAGAAAAAATTTCACTGATCAGCTAAAAACATTGCTTTTTTCAATACCGTTTTTGTCTTGACTTTTAAATCATCTGTTGACAACAGGTGACGTTAACACAAAGAAGATCTAACATCATTTTGAAGCTGTTGACAAATAATATAATTTTTATTTCTTCTTCGACACATTAGATATTTAAAAATTTTTTATTTTTAAGGTTTACGCACTTAAATTTTACATATTTTTGTTAAAGATTTCCAAAAAATGCTCAACACCTGCTTTGATTTGTCATTGAGGAGTCATTAGTTACACTGCTGCACTTCCATTTCCGGAATTAAAAATGCTAAATTTTTTCAAAATTTCCCGACGATTCTTCATTTTTTTTTGTTTTCTCAGCAGCAGGCAAATTTTTAAAATCAAATTATTTTACTTCTTCTGTATCAACAGTTCTCACTCTTTTTTTACTGATTGCAGCCAACAAATAAATTCATCACCGATGTAAGAAACGAGTCACTTTAACGTAGATCATGCAGTAGTCATGGTCATTAGCAGAAGCAAACTTGAAACCAAGGGTTATTTCACTGCGCGTATTTGTTTAACTCTTTCAAGTTATAAGTAATTTCAATTTCTTTTGCGGAAAAACTTTTTAATACTTTGAACAAAGAAAAAAGAATACAAAATGTTGTGTCTTCCACTCCATTCCGACGTTTGTTTTGACATTTATCAATTTATCAGTCAAATTAACAAAAACAAAATTTGTTCTAAAACATTTGATTTGGAGAAGCCTTGTGGGTTCTTCAGACAGGAAGGTACGATAATAATACGACACCGCTCCTGGCAGAGGCATAAGTATTCCGAAAAATGGTACTAGCAAGCACTTTCAAATCGTAGTTCCTGATCTAGCCAACATCGCAATTACCCAATGTCTAGACAAATTATATCGCTAATCCAACGACACACTCAAATAAGCTATTATTTATTATTTTTTTTTTACATCAGAAAATTGTACATCAACATCGACTGTCAAGAATCATTGGGTTTAACAAGCCTATAAGGTTGTGCTCAAGAATCAATTGAGAGTTTCATGAGTGGCTTTATATTTGTCAGTGATCGCCGAATTAGAACCTCGGAGCTAGATTGCCGCTCAGAGATTTCGCGCCTGTAGACTATATTTTTAAAACGAAAACGCTTATCTTACAACAACCTATCTAGAGTATTCACTGCAGTCTCCTCTCCTGTTTTAATAAACTCTTTAAGGTTTGCATAAGTGCTTTGTTTTAACTGATTAGTGAATTGTACTATTTGCAGCTACAATTCTGAAATGAAAATTGTATATAATATCTTCCCCTTCCTGTCAAGAATGGTAGCTTGCTCTCGATCCCATTGGCCATTGTAAATTCGGACTTATACGAGATCATCAACGCGAAATTCCTTATTGATTGCTTCGTGATTTTGGTTAAACTGAGGCACTACTCTGTCGTTTATTGAGTCTAAAGTGTCATGGGTACTTCCTGACTGGATTGCGGCAGTAATAAATAAGCTTATAGAATTTAAGTAACACGGCTGAGGAGTTGTTAGCAGTTGGATGCATCGTATTACGATAATTAAACAAAAAGTTAACAGTTTTCTCCTACCGAAGGACAAAAAGAAGAATTTTAGCAACACTTACTTTATTTACACACTCTTTTTTTGTGTAATGCTTTGCCAACTCTCAGTTTTTGTTTTTTGACGTAGCACTTGTGACTTTCCCTGGCGAAACCGAAAATGACTCAAAAGGCTCAGCGTAGGCCTGCTTATTATGATGCGCTTTAAGAGTTTGTGATTGGTTAGAAACATTATCGAATCCTTCTGAGAGTCTTAAAGGACTGAGTATAGTTTTTCGATTTGTTTTGTAGAGGAGTATCGAATGCGATATGTACAATCCACGAGAAACAAAGCTCGCCGCTGTATTCGATTTGCCAGTAGCAAGGGGGCGCTGTTCGTCAAAGCAAAAATCGTCGTCAGGAGCTGATAATTTGTAAACTTCCTTTCTCATAAATACTGTTGGAATTTTTTTAATTTGAAAACTTTACTCAATGTTCCTCTCTCTATCCGCGAGTTATTACGTTCTGCAAGCGCAAGAGGCTTTAACGTGTTAGCAATTACATTTTCAGCTCTGACTGCAAAATGGTGAAATAAGACGGCACCTATTCCAACATTAATCGCATTTGACGTGAGGGAAAGAGGATGATCTAACTGAAAATGCATTAGAGAAAGAGGTGACATCAGAATACGTTTGTTACGTTAAAAAGCTTCTTGACACTTGTCAGACCATACAAATGATACATTTTTCTGCAGTAACTTCTCTAGAGGAGCTTGCAAATTCTACAATTGAGGGGTTCATTTTGCTTAATTGTTCGCAAATGCAAGAACCAGGAACAGAAGAGACACACGGCATTGACATGCATTAAATAGGTTTAATTTTATTTGGTTCTGGCCTAATTTTTTGGGAGTCGACGAGAAACCTAAATAGTACACCGATGATGTTGCAAAGAACGATGATAAACGAGAAAAAACTTTTCTAAGTGTTCTGTATAAATTTTCATAAAAATTAAGATGTTGTCCAGGCTTG